CAGGCACCGCCCATCAGCTCTCTTTTCAGAGTTTTTCAGCTGTGTTTTGTAGGCTAGTAATGTACTCACTACCATATGCGCAGTGGCAGGCCTGCTAACTATCATCGTTAACCCCCGAGACCGAGGTCTACTTAAGCAGCTGGCCCGCTCTCACGCTCAGCTGGTAGTTTTCCACACCCACCTACATACACCGTCCTACTTCTTCTCTGATGCTCACAACCACATCATCATATCTTTCTGCGTGTTCTGTGTAGGCTTTGTTACTAACTCCATGCGCCACTTTAGAAGCAGCACTGTTAATTGAAACGCAACAGCGAATCGTGCAGGACTATCCCCAGCCGATGCTGCGAATGAAAATAAAATTGAATACCAATTAATGACACTATATTGCTCGAAGATATGCAAATCAGTTTCAAAACATGAGTTTTTTTTCACTGGAAGGGGTGGTTGTACCTGTTGGCAAGTGTAGGGAGGAGCTTAATACGTCCAATAATTTCCAGAAACGATTATTTTACATAATTTTCATCTATTCGGGGATGGTTTCCTGGGTGAGTTTTGAGATACAAATTCTGAAACAGGGTAGGTATGTTTTCTCTGTTCGTTCTGATGATATTGTGAGAAAAAAATTTTCAGAAACGATCATTGCACATAATTTTACGTAATTTCCATCTATTCGGGGGTGGTTTCCAGGGTGAGTTTTGAGATACAAATTCTGAAACAAGGTAGGTATGTTTTCTCTGTTCGTTCTGATGATATTGTGAAAAAAAAATTCCAAAAACGATTATTGCACATAATTTTGCGTAATTTTCATCTATTCGGGGGTGGTTTACAGGGTGAGTTTTGAGATACTAATTCTGAAACAGGGTAGGTATGTTTTCTTTGTTCGTTCTGATAATGTTGTGGAAAAGAAATTTTCTGAAACGATTATTTCACATAATTTTACGTAATTTTCATCTATTCGGGGGTGGTTTCCAGGGTGAGTTTTGAGATACAAATTCTGAAACAGGGTAGGTATGTTTTCTTTGTTCGTTCTGATAATATTGTGAGAAAGAAATTTTCAGAAACGATTATTTCACATAATTTTACGCAATTTTCATCTATTCGGGGGTGGTTTCCAGAGTGAGTTTTGAGATACAAATTCTGAAACAGGGTAGGTATGTTTTCTCTGTTCGTTCTGATGATATTGTGAGAAAAAAATTTTCAGAAACGATCATTGCACATAATTTTACGTAATTTCCATCTATTCGCGGATGGTTTCCAGGGTGAGTTTTGAGATACAAATTCTGAAACAGGGTAGGTATGTTTTCTCTCTTCGTTCTGATGATATTGTGAGAAAAAAAATTTCAGAAACGATTATTTCACATAATTTTTCGTAACATTCATCTATTCGGGGATGGTTTCCAGGGTGAGTTTTGAGATACAAATTCTGAAACAGGGTAGGTATGTTTTCTCTGTTCGTTCTGATGATATTGTGAGAAAAAAATTTTCAGAAACGATCATTGCACATAATTTTACGTAATTTCCATCTATTCGGGGGTGGTTTCCAGGGTGAGTTTTTAGATACAAATTCTGAAACAGGGTAGGTATGTTTTCTTTGTTCGTTCTGATAATATTGTGAGAAAGAAATTTTCAGAAACGATTATTTCACATAATTTTACGCAATTTTCATCTATTCGGGGGTGGTTTTCAGGGTGAGTTTTGGGATACAAATTCTGAAACAGGGTAGGTATGTTTTCTCTGTTCGTTCTGATGATATTGTGAGAAAAAAATTTTCAGAAACGATCATTGCACATAATTTTACGTATTTTCCATCTATTCGGGGGTGGTTTCCAGGGTGAATTTTGAGATACAAATTCTGAAACAGGGTAGGTATGTTTTCTCTGTTCGTTCTGATGATATTGTGAGAAAAAAATTTTCAGAAACGATCATTGCACATAATTTTACGTAATTTTCATCTATTCGGGGGTGGTTTTCAGGGTGAGTTTTGGGATACAAATTCTGAAACAGGGTAGGTATGTTTTCTCTCTTCGTTCTGATGATATTGTGAGAAAAAAAAATCCAGAAACGATTATTTCACATAATTTTACGTAATTTCCATCTATTCGGGGGTGGTTTCTAGGGTGAGTTTTGAGATACAAATTCTGAAACAGGGTAGGTATGTTTTCTCTCTTCGTTCTGATGATATTGTGAGAAAAAAAATCCAGAAACGATTATTTCACATAATTTTACGTAATTTTCATCTATTCGGGGGTGGTTTCCAGGGTGAGTTTTGGGATACAAATTCTGAAACAGGGTAGGTATGTTTTCTCTGTTCGTTCTGATGATATTGTGAGAAAAAAATTTTCAGAAACGATCATTGCACATAATTTTACGTATTTTCCATCTATTCGGGGGTGGTTTCCAGGGTGAGTTTTGAGATACAAATTCTGAAACAGGGTAGGTATGTTTTCTCTGTTCGTTCTGATGATATTGTGAGAAAAAATTTTCAGAAACGATCATTGCACATAATTTTACGTAATTTTCATCTATTCGGGGGTGGTTTTCAGGGTGAGTTTTGGGATACAAATTCTGAAACAGGATAGGTATGTTATCTCTGTTCGTTCTGATGATATTGTGAGAAAAAAAATTCCAGAAACGATTATTGCACATAATTTTACGTAATTTTCATCTATTCGGGGGTGGTTTTCAGGGTGAGTTTTGGGATACAAATTCTGAAACAGGGTAGGTATGTTTTCTCTGTTCGTTCTGATGATATTGTCAGAAAGAAATTTTCAGAAACGATTATTTCACATAATTTTACGTAATTTTCATCTATTCGGGGGTGGTTTCCAGGGTGAGTTTTGAGATACAAATTCTGGAACAGGGTTGGTATGTTTCTCTCACTCATTTTGAATATCCTATCGAATATAGATTTTCAAAAACGATGAGTTAATTTGGTTTTGATTAGTTCTGAAGATATTAATCTATATATAGGGGTAGTAGCACCCTATTTGTGTGTATACCCCATTTCATCATTATAATCATCATATTGACGCAAAACATTTGGATCCCAATGGTTTCAGTCGATATCTGAATGTTAAAACGGAAGAATCGATGTAATAACATTTTACACCTGTGCGCATATACTATTATTTCGTTTCCGATACGGAGACCGTTTCTATTTTCACACCGGTGGATTTTCCTGCAGCTGAAAAGTGAATACTCCACCAAAAATCAGTGTGGCCACACGGCAAATAAAAGTAATATCCATCCTCTACCCGCATCTCTTTTCTGGAGATTTGAAACACATTACTTTGGTCTTTTCAGATGTTTTTTCTACTCTGCTGTCCCTGAACATTTTCATACCAAAACCATTCCCTGTGCAAAGTTTCACCCTAAACGAAAGTGATGGAGTGAAAACCATGGGCTTTGTGCTATATATATATATATTCATATACATATCATTCATTATTCATGTGGTTTCAAAATTCCATTAACTCACGGCCCATGGCCCCCCCCTGAAAAACTGCCTAGATCCGCCACTGGATTACAGAGATATAGGGTGTTCAAAATCGAGATTTTTCAACTTTAGGATTTTTTTGTGTCGAAACTATTCATTATTGGTCAAACCGGCTTCTATGTCCCCATCTCAACTTTTTATTTACTATCTACTGACATTTAATTGGACCATTTAAGATGATATTTCAAATTTTGAAATCGGTTCAAAAATAACTGAGCTAGAGGGGGGGACAATTATGGTGAATCACCCTGTACATACATAAGAGATTTGATTTGCATCAGAGTTTCCTTGATATTAGCCTATAAATTGTTGATTTCTACTGGTAGTTGCATGGAAATACCATTTTAACACTGAATATAGTTCATTTTCAAATTTTACATAAGTTTTGAGGCACTACAAGTAGAAATAAAATATGTTGCTATGGCGAGTTTTCAATGGAAATAAGTCACTTTTTCCATATATAACTGGACATTTGAGGAAAAAATCAGTATAAATCAAAAGATCAGTATACCTACCCAAATCAAAAAAAAATAATCAGGATTGAATGGAAAAAATTGATTTATTTATTCTTTCAAAAAAATCATGATTTTTCCCTACCTTGAGTTGACTCTATCAACTCAGTATTACCAAGTAGATAAGTACCAAGATAGTGAATGATAGTAAAGAAGAAATAAGTACCTAGGTAGGGTAGGTGACTACTTAAATTGTTTTGATGTTTTGTATTTGAAAGGTCATGTGACAACAATGGTTCAAGTTGGTTTATAAACAACTACCTACCTAATTATTGTTAACACATTATTGTTAGTTACATTTTCTACTTTTATTTTTCCAATATAGCACCTATTGAATAGAAAAATAGAGGAGTAAATAAATGAGTATGTATAATATACCTCAAAGTATAATCATAGATTAAAATCTATCCTCCAAATATCCTAAGGAGAACATATCATAATGTAGGTATTATTCAAGCTGAGATTTGAGCACTTCCAACTTGCCTACTTCATCATCATTGTTAATTAATTCAATGAATGCTCCAATGAATGCAAATTTATGAGAGCTGGAATCTACAGGGAAATCCCACTGAGTCATAATTTCAGTTTTTATGGAGGTTTTCGTTTATTTCAACATTGTAGTAGTCCTAGACCTACCTGTAGAAGGTATGTAAAAATAGGTACCTACTGAAATAGGTAAAATTCAAAAACTCACTTTACTTCCCCCTGGACTAGAATTATACCAGTATACTGGTACTACCTTGTTTTCAACCATAACGCCTGAGTCTAACTTCGGTGAGTGCAAGAACATGTTACTCATGAGTTTAGATCACATAGGTAGGTCTGGAATGTATTGATATTGATTCATATAAAAACTTTGGGCTGCTGACATGAGGTCCAGGTCGTTCGCCACTTGCACGATGATCAACCAAATTGTCTATTCATTGTTTTGGAGAACTTGATTGATTTAAAAGTAGGTACTAAATACAAAAAAGTGGGTAGGTACTTACTTGCCAAACAAAATGTGTTGATGAAAAATAATAAATTCAAGATAACACACAACACAAAGTTTTTCATTTTCTAAAAGTTTTTGCTGAATTTGTATATGTACTACAACATGAACAAACTAAAGGAATTACACCGAACAGCCACAACACGCACTATCTTTGTTGTCCTTGCATTGATTCTTCCAAAAAGGACAATATAAAATGGCGTTAACCAGGCAGGCAGACAGTCACGAGCTCGTTTAGTAGTTTACGTAATCTCCGACAGGACAGTGACGTCAGACGTTCAGAGGCGTGCGCTGTGTGAAGTTTGGAGGTTTAGTCATTTGGAGCTGCTTCCTTAGATCATTAAGAACAAGCGTCTGTTTGTTAATCTGTGAATATTCGTGAGAGAATAAGCGTACGCTACCTATCGGAGTTCTTGGAAGCTGTCACAGCGGCATGTTTACTTTGTTTTCATTGGTTCACATTTGTTTTTTGTTTGGTCATATCATCGAAACAAACCGCTCAGAAGTGTTCAAATTGTTGTCGTCAGATGGGGCGACGTGTTATTTTCTATCGCGAATAGCGTAGCAGGCCCACTGCATATGGCGGGAAGCAGGCAATTCGAATTTTTTGATGGTTAATGGCTCAGTTAAAGGCAAACAGAAAGTCTAAAGAAAATTTTGGGACAAAAGCGCTTCGTGCATGTTCGATTCTGAAGAAAATACATAATTTAAATAGCAATCACCATTGGCCTCATTGCCTCTACAGCAAATGACGATTCCACAGTTTAGCAGTAGGTATTATTCTAATCAATCACAGAAAAGTAGGTGGAGCAGGATTCAAATTGGGTTCCTCTAGCGGCTGCCCATAATATAATAATATTGGCTCGTGTGCGCTAGTGCTGCTCGTACGTTGTTTCATTGACTATTTCATTCATCACATAATCTGCCCAATCACAAGCCAGAGACAACTGAAATGGCTTTTCTAGGAAACATTAGCGGTGTTTCAATTCTGATTGGTCTATCATCAGCGTTGATGATGTTTGTACTAGCCAGAATCAATGACTCGCTAATAATGTATGCTTTTTATGCTTCGTGAGCGTGAAGTAGTCTAGCAAAATACCACCCTGTTCTGACAATCTTGTCATAATTCTGTCACTTACGACAGAATGATGCGTATACAATATGGCTGTATCATATACGTATTAATAATCAATACGGATAATCTCTATCTGTTTCCATAGCGAAACATGAAGCCGATTTTTGAAGACAAATGACTATCCATAAGGAAAAGTTTTGAAACGATCAGACACATACTGCTTTGATTGAAAGGCTAGTAAACGTCATTGTCCACCGAAACGCATGTCTTTGATGACTACTATAATAGCGCATGGCGCATGCGTATCATGCCACCAAATCCTTATGGATATTCATTTGTTTCATATTTTTGGCTTCATCCTGGCACCCGTTATGATCCGTATTGTTTATTAATACGTATATATGGGCTGTATAAGCAGTGTTTCCAACATGTGTCAACTGTCAAAATCCCATGCACATTTCTTGAAAAAATCTCCCGTCATTTCCCACCACATTGAAATTTATTGAATGATCTATCAAGGAATTTGTTTAGAAAAATCATGAATAATAAAGATACGCATTATCTATCGAAATGAATAAAAGTCATTCTGATTCAAGTGACAATTTAACTCATGTATGAAAAATTCCACAAGTCGCGTGATTTTGCCATTATGACTGCGGAAAAAGTTTGCCCTAACTTTTCCAGCGACAGTAGCGGAACCTAAGTTTCGAAAGCATGACAACCAGCCACAAAACAAAAAGTTTGATGTATTGAATTGTATTACCGAATTACACTCTAGCTTTTTTTTTTCGAAGTAAACTTGGCATTTATAATTCGAATTTTGTTGCCATCAGGTAATTCAACTCAAAAAACTGCCAGAAAAAATTACTCGTCCTACGGACTCATAATCTTTTCAGATGCAGTTTTTTTCGGCAAATTGCCAGGCAACAAAATTCTTATTGATACATGTCAAGTTTACTTCGACAAAAAAAAAGCTCTCGTGATAAGATGACACGTAAATTCAAAATGTTCATTATCTTTTCAACACAATCTTCCAATAAGTCAGTATGGCTAGGTCGAAGTCAGTACTCAGAACGTACCCAGCAAACAATTTTGGTCATTATTACGTCTGTCCAAAACCTGCTTGCCAGAAGTTGCCGACCCGTCAAAAGAGATGCAAACGATGTCGGTCCGATGTCAATAGCAGGAGCCGATGGCTGATGGACCCTCAGACGAATGAAATTCGTCTGAGGCTGGACCAATGATGCACAAGCTTCTAGCTAGACCAGCTAATCTTAAACATCGAGGTCAAGTGATGTCACCCGCCACAACACATGATATTCTTTCCTTCTTTATATTGAGAAACTACAACTACAATTACTACGAGTAAAGCGATAGCTTAGTGGTTAGTGTATCTGACTTCCACGGTGGTGACTAGAGTTCAACCCCTGCGAGGCGTGAATTCTTTATCAATTTTTTTACCACTAACCAAACCAATTTTTAAACGCCTTGACACGTGTTTCGCTATGTTAGCATCTTCAGGAGAAGATTTAAACTAAATATCCTATTCTAGTGTGCTGCTTATACCGGGTGACACAGGGTATCGGGCCACCCCTGTAACTTCTGCCTTCGTCATCGGATTTTTCTGAAATTCGGTACAGTTATATAAGCAATTATTTCGGATTTGATCACATTACAATCCAATATGGCGGACTTCCGGTATTTCTGGAAATGCCAGCAATTTTGTTTTTTCAAATGGAACACCCTGTATATTTTTACATATTCAAGTTCAACAGGTCAAAACAAGTGCAATCTTGTTGTCAAATATCATTTATTCCACAGCCTACCTAGTTGAAAAATTATTCTAACTGCAAGGAAATTCATAAACTAGTTGTTGATTTTTGAATGTATACAATTTGTTACTGCACCGAAAAACAAAAATGATATTTCATTTTGTTCCTTAATGTATGTTCTACCACAATTTATGGAATATTACCGTACTTAGACCTTTTTTAACAACAAATGCCATCTATTGTATGCATAACAAACTCCCCGGTTTGGTTACAGTGACTCTATATCACGGTATAACTAACGGAGAATGAGAAGGAATCTGTATGGCACGACTGTATACGTATTATATTCAACCATGAGATGGCGAAACCTGTTCTGTTCTGCTGTTCTGGGGTTTTAGCGTTCTACAGGGCGTTTCAGTTTGTTTCTGCATAGATTAAGGTTCATGTAAACCCACGTGAAAAAAAACGGCAAGTTCAAAAATTTTGAAAAAAATCTGGTATATCAAGGTTTTTAATTGAAAACTTCTGTGAGATTTTGATGAAAATCTATCGAACGAATTTTGAGAAAAAAAATTAAAACTCCTTTTTTTATAGGTTTTTTTTAGTTTTCACAAAAACTGTTCGATGAATTTTTGTCAAAATCTCACAGCAGTTCTTAACAAAAAATTAAAATATGCCTGATTTTTTTGAAAATTTTTGAACTTACAGTTTTCCTACAATAGTGAATTAATCATTGAAAGTTGCTGTAAAATCTATATTATTCGAAAAATATGATATATTTTGATTATTCATGTAAGATGTAACGAATACGGATTACTTGAATCCTATTTCAGTCATAAACAATGATTTATTCGATTTTAAAATAGGGTATTCAAAACCCCTTACCAAATTCCTCTCAAATAGAATAATCGCTCCAGCAGGTGCTGCCTCTGCTGGTAATAGTCATAATCTAAAGTAGTTTCGCTACTGCCCACGAGTATCGCATAAAATGTCTGACCATCATAATATTTGTCGTACAGCGTTGCCAATACGCCTAGACAAAGACAACCGATAAATGCTGATTGTTTCTAGCAAATCCTTCAGAAAATCGTCTATGGATACATTTTCCCTTTTTGACTTGTGAATATTGAATACATTCGCGAGCCTAATGAAGGGGGGGATGGGTCGTGTTGAATTATTTCATATTCATATGAAGATTAAGTCAATTCAGTTGATTATTGTGATGAACAATGAATGCTTCGCAGATGAAATTTTTTATTAATAAAGAAAATGCCTTTCGAATTAGAAGTTTGGTTTTTCGGACATGCATCATGCACTTCATGTACCGGGAAGTGAAAATTTTATCCGAAATAATAATCTTCATCTTCATTGTGTCATCAACTTGCTCATGGAAGTGCCCCAAATGTTAGGGGCCTCTTCAGATTTTTATTATCCACCATAATGCCCATCTATGGAGGTTTTTTCATGGTTATTCCTCTAGAAAACAACTAACCATTTAACTTTCATGTTTCTCAATTCTCTATACGGTTATTATAAAAAATTTTCCATTTTCATGTAAGCTATCTCTATGGTAAGGATTCCTCTTGTTACAATTAATTTTTCTTATTGTATATAGGACTATGTAATTTCTTATTAGGCTGATGATGGACATATGTATGCTCCCTTGATGTGATTATTCACAATGAGCATTAGGTTGAGCATTTTTCTCAAAAATATGTAATTTCTGGTTTTAAGCCTAGCAGCACCTCGATTTCCTAGAAGTGGTTTGAATTCCACGTAGGTCTCGCTCACCATAACCCCGCACAAGTTTCGACTTCTGGGGTGTTGATTCCCATCGAAGTAGCGATATACAATTTTTATAAAATTATATAAAACACTAAAAATTAAAAATAAAACGAATATGTATTGAGAAGGTACAATATTTTCTGATCGATTTTCCTCGAAAATGATACATCTCTGATTGATTCGGAACAAGAGCAAATCTTGGAATGGTTTATTTTCACTGCATTGAGCATGGAAAGCTCGATGGAAAGTTTAGTTCTTGTACCGAATTGCATTATTATATCTCATGGCGTTTCGGAAATATTCAAGAAATATCATATTTAGGACCCCCCATCCAGGGGGCTGTAGCTCCCTCATATAAGAGACATTTATGTTCATCTGAACCAATGATATATAATAGTGATGATATAAATATTTCCGAAATAAGGCGATTCTC